AAAGGATAATTACAAGATTTCATCATACACAAAAAGATGGTGAACAGTTGAATGATTGAACAATGCTTGATGAATTATAAAATGATCAGGAAATGTTCAAATATCTGGCAACATAAAGACAGCATCGTTTAAAATGGCGGAGGTTGTAGTAGTTTTATTCTTGCAGTAGTTAAGGCGCTAAAATGTTATTTAATATTTTTTGGCGTTTACAAAACATACTGAATATAAAACTTGCTTATTGCAATTTTGCCTGTGAATATCTTTTTGCAGCATTGATTTGCCAATATAGTTACAGCGGACTTGAAAATATGTACATGAAATGTTGAATATAATATAATTAAATTATCTTTTGTTTCGAAATTTAGTCGAAAATAACGGGAGTTTACTTTTAACTTGAGACATAATTTCTAAATTCTTAGTAAAAAAAATACTGATGAGCTGAAGCAACTTAAATCAGTTTTACATAATTTCCCTAGTTCTTTTCAAAAGTTTAATGCAGATAAAATTAAATACTTGTGGAAATTAAATATATAATTAATATAGGTTTTAAAATAAAAAACGTTAATATTGAAATTTCATTTTAAATTAATATTTAATAGCTACAAATATCGTAACTCTTCGTTCGCAGCTGAAGATGGAGACGATCCCATCTATATGGGAGTGTTCCGAGTGCAGTGATGTCGATTCTTAATTCAGCATTCACTATATGATACTACAGTTTATCTATATATATATAAAATGGGCCTGATTTTTTGCTAATCTCCTAAAGAAAATCATGTGCAAAGATTTTATTGAAAGTTGATCAAAATGACTGATTGAACAGGAATTGAAGATATAAATTTCTTAACAAAGTTTGAAAACTTATTCCTAATCCTTATTCTTATTCTAGGTTTTGTGTGTGTATGTTTTGTTGTGCATTTTTTAAATTGCTTGTGATTGCTGAGACTGAATTAAATATTTTTAATTATAATGTAAAATACCTTGCTAATGAATAAGATCATTATTAATTATTATTAAAAAAAAAATATATTTTGATTTTATGTTTTTATAAATTATATGCATAAAAAATGTGAAAACGCACTAGAATTTTCTTTTTTTGGGGAAATTTAAGTTTAAAATTTAACTATAGCTATTAATATTCACTAATTTGTTCAGATAATTAACTGTCTTTACATGTACTGAACTGATTATCTGCAAATCTGGTTTGAAGATAGTCAGTACTTTTATGTACACAAACCAGACTTAGTCTAAGCTAAGACTGGTTTGTGTACATAAGTTAGTTGCATATCTTTTGCAGAACCTGCCCCAGAATTTTTGTGCTGCTGTAGTTTTTCCACAGAAATTTACCTTCACTTATTTACCATTGCTTTCTGAATGGTCGACTCTTGATACCACTGGAGAAAAACAATGCAAGGTGGTCTTCTGCCAAATTGCCTGTAGCTGGGATTGAACCAGGCAGCCCAACATTATGCAGCGCAACATTACAAAGCGCATTGTTTGCAATGCCTAAGCCACAGATGTTGACTTGTGTACATAAGTGGTATAAAAGTACACATGTAGTTAGAGATGTGAAAAACTACATGTATGTATTTCTTGTTTTCCAGGTGATTCATTCAGATGGAAGCAGTCCAGGTGAGCTAAAATGTTCAGCACTTCTTTTTTAAGATTTCAATGGCTGTAGTTTTAACTGATAGTTCACCTCCTGCTTCTTACATTTTATTGAACACTGCTATTATGAAAGTTGTTTCATTGGTCTCCCCCCAACCCCCCCCCCCCTTCTAATTGGTAATGAACAGTGATGCACCAGCTCTTAAACTGGTGAAGACTTGTCCACATCAGCAATACTTGAACACAGTGATCCTAAAGGACACAATTTATTGTGTATTTACATCGACTGTAAGGGATATAATCCATTGTTTTTGTAAGTTCACATAATAATTTTCTGTAGTATTTAATATTATTTCAGGTTTAGGTTAAGCGTAGGTTTAGCCCTAATTCTTACCCTAACCCTCATCGCAAATATTATTAAAGAATATCATTATGTGAACTTTCACAAACAATGGATTACATCCCCTAGGGTCAGCATTTAAAGTATTGGTAACTTACAATAGATTATGTTCCTCAGTGTTTCTGTTAAAAGTTCCCACTACATCTCTCCATGGTCATCCTTCGCACAGGTTCCCAACCTGGAGCCTGGCCAACTTAGATTGATTGTTTCATTTGAAGTCAGACTGCATCTGCCTAAGAGGCAAAGAACCAACAGTTTGCACACAGATAGGCCATATCTGTAAAATTAATGTGTGTATAACACTCAAGTCAATTCCTGGAACAAATCCAAAAAGTCTAGAATTGGATGAACAAACAGGACTTCCTGCATAAGTTTACAGCTGGTGAATGGAAAGACGAATATTGGTTTTAACCGAAAGATATGAAGTGACATTATGTGATAAATTATTTTAAGCTAGAAGATTTGTTAAACACTATTGTGATTTAAGAATGTCTTTTTCGAGAATAGGGGAGCTGCCATGGTGTAGCAGTTAGATACTCATGTGTGGATCCGAAGGTCGGGGTTTGAAGTCTTGACGGAGCTTGACTTTTTCCCCCAAAAATGATCTTGGTTTCCAGGTTTTCCTTAATGGGTACCAGGTAAAGTCTTGGGAAGTAAAGGTAACTGACATGAAGTTGACCATACCACTGTTCTGTTAAACTGTTGCATGCATGCTGGTTATCCCCTCTAGGCTGCTGCCTGAACAGTTTGACACCCTGAGATAAGATCTCATTTGGGATGGCAGACAACACACCTGAAATCGTGTAAAAAAAAAAGTCTTAATGCTGAGGAAGAGTGCAAGCACAGATCTTCTGTCCAGCCTACCAGGGTGTTATCTTCTTCTTCTTCTTTTTCATGTTCACTGGCTGTAAACTCCGGCCGAAAGTTCTGGCTTGTCCATTAATCCATTTCTGGACTTTACTCTTGTTCCAGAACCCTGAGTGTTGAGTGCACATCCATTTAACAGATCTGACTTATTTGTTTGCAGACTGCTGGTCCCTTGCCTCTCAGGCAGATGCACTCCGACTTCGAAGGAAGCCCCCAGCTAGTCGACTCTTGCGAGATGCTTGTTGGGGAGGCAGTGGGTCTATTCTTTTCCTAACAATGGGTCCCTAGAACCCACACGGAGACAAGGATGTTATAATTAGGGCATATCAGCCTGAGGTAACCTGCAGTCCTGTATAAGTAAAAAAAAAAAAAGACAGTAAAAAAAGGTAAAGGACCCTTTTCCAGGCCATTGGCCATATAGAGCGCGACCTATATTTTATAGACCATTTAGCACTGGGTGGATGATGAGGTCAGCATCCTGCTACCCCTTCAAGGCTGGGTCGACCTGAGAGCCAAGGTCATTAAAAAAAAAAAGTCTGGTTTCACCAGGACTCGAACCCATGGCCGTCCGATTTGCAGGCAAGCATCTAGCCACTATACCACAGTGGCTGTCTAAGGGTTAGAATGCCACCTGTTAACACTTTTGAGTGTTTTGTAGTGCTACAGAAGCAGCAACAGGGGGCGGTATGTTATTTTTTTATATATTTTATTGTCTTGATAGCTGTAGACTTGTATTGACTACTGACACTTTGTGTATTCAGACAGAGATTATGATCCGTCAGCTGATATGATGATTCATAGATATGGTGCAGGAACATATGATGAAGATGTTGTGACGAGTGGTGAGAGCGGCGATGATACAAATAAGGTATTTTGTTAAATCTGGGTGTGTTTTTGTTAACTAAATCAGTGTTGTGTGATTACTGTAAATCTTTCAGTGATTACTTCTGTTAGTATTTGTTTTTAATGTGTGGTAGGAAACAACAGCGGAGAATGGAGAGGGATAAGTAGTAAAAAGATTTATAATCTGTTTAAATCGCCACTATTTACTTGCATCTTGAAAGCTGATAGCCTTAAGATGGTTGGGTTGTATAGAGGGAATGGCAGATAACAGCAGGTGATCGAGGTGGTATATGAGAATGAGCGATTTAAGTAAGTAAAAATTGTTGTGTATAATAATATTCAGATATCCCCATGTCGTTTTTGAGGCTCCCATTATGGGAAACAGAAGAATGGACCCACTGCCTTCCCAGCAAGTACATTGTAAGAGTAAGCTAACTGGGGGCTTCCTTCAAAATCATATTGCATCTACATGAGAGGCAAGGAACCAGCAGTCTGCATGCAAATAAGTCAGATTGGTAAGATGAATGTTCAAGCAAGACTCAGGTTCTGGAACAAGACTAAAGTCCAGAGGTGCCCATAGAAAATTCATCCTAACGACTTGTATTGCATTGTGTGCTTTGACTTCACTGTACAGTTGCTCATATTCATCATCTGCCAGCCTAGTCCATACAGTATTGATTATATCAGATGTGTCCATGGATCTACATTCTGAGCTCGCCCAGTCTTCCCTCACAACAGGCTTGATAGGTTACAGTAATAATCGTTTTGGGTTTCCCATATAGACACATCAGCGACTGCGTCACCAGTCAGTACAGTATTTGGGTCTGTCTCCTTTGATCGCATCAGCACTGCAGGAGTCCTTTTCAGGGCTTTTGGTGGCAGGCAGTGCGAAGCCATTTTACCTAGTGCACATAACCTAGTCACAGTAATAACCTAAAGCTATACCTTCATGGATGCTGGTTAAAAATGACAACCCCCAGCAAAGCACCTGCCTACCTATCTACTTTATAGACACTGGTAACACAGAAGTCAGTAGTTATGTAAATTGATCGTCACTCTTCTCATCAAGCAGACAGTGCTATTTGTTTTTAATAACTTACATTTTAATTTTTAATTAAACTAATTACAGGTGCAGATGCACCCAGTTTCAAAATTGACACAACTCCTCCACCCCAAAACTTCCTTGTAGCTCCCTCCTACCATTTGAAAACCACTGATTTGAAACATTGCCAGCTATTTTTATATTAAAAATATTTGAACTTAAGTCTTATTTTCTTTCAAGGGAAATGAGATGCCTATTGAAGATATTCTTGCACGGTATGCTTTCGATGCTGCTGCTGTTGCCGACTTGGCAGAAAATTCACACTGCACATCATCGTCATCATCATCATCTAGTGACGAAGAGGAGGTTTTAGTGAGACCAAACTTCTCTTCAGCCAGAGAGAATATCAGAAGAGGTTCACTGAAAACAAGGGCAGAGAATAGACTAGCCAGAGTCAGTGAAATACCACAGAATGTCTCACGGGTACATTCGGAGAGGCTGCTTCGATGTAAGTTTGCTTCGCGTATTATTTTATGTTTAAAGTGAATTCTAAAATGTTTTTGTTGATGTGTTGCACTGTTTTTCAGTATATTAAGGACTAATAAATTATATAACAGTTAATGATACAGTCAAGATTGATTGCCAGAATTTTAAACTGTAATCATAAAAGAAGTATTTAAGGAATATGCTCATGTGACATTTTAAAATGTTCAGAAAAGTTGTAAGATTCATGGGACCTTGTATAACCATAAGGCTTCAGACAGTGCTGAGAAAGTAAGGAACGTAAAGCATCTTAAACAGAGGGTTGCTGCAACAATTGCAGCTTTAACTCTGGTCACGATTCAGAAAATCTGCAGGAGATTACATACCGTCTAGACGGCGCTACACATGTCACCCATGTCAAAGTGTACTAATCCCTTTGTAGGTTCCAGGGCCCTAGTATAAAGAAAACAAGAACAGGCTCGCTGCCTACCTGAAAAAAATATCGTAAGAGTCGACTAATTTGGAGCTACCTATGAAGTCAGAATGCATCTGCCTGAGAAGCAAGGAACCAATAGTCTGCATTCCAGAAGTGGACAAACAACCAGAACTTTCTGCCAGAATTACAGCTGGTGAACATGAAGAAGATGAAGAAAGTGTACTATTGTAATTGAAATCTTTAAACTTTCTGAATATATTGAGATGCTTCATGTTTATATCCATTAAATACTTCCTCTTTCTAATAACAGTTTAAAATTATGGCAATCATTCTCAGTAATCCTGTATTATAACACCATATATTTTTAGCAAGTTGGAGGGAAAAGAGTGCATGAAACCAAGAGAGAAAATGTTAGGAGGTCTGACTTGGTAGCATTTAAGTGTATGAAACCAAGAGAGAAGATTTTAGGAAGTCTTTCACACAACATAGAGTATGATTAGAAGATGACAGCGGATTCTGTGTTGCCCTAGAGGTTTTGTGCCCTGATTTTAGCCTGCCATGGTGGCCGATTTTTTCCCCAATTAATGGGATTTTATTATAGCAGATTATTTGTAATTTCAGCCATTGTAACAACTGATATAACTGTTGGATGTTTCTATAGAGGTGACAACTGAGAGGACAGTGATAGCAGACCTAGAAAATGAGATCATGAGTTCAGATCACATTAAAAATAGTATGGCAGTTGAAAATAGGTAGTAGTCTGTGAGGTTTGAACTGAAATGCAACAGAAAAATTCTAAAGGACTGTCTATATTATTAAGTTTACTTTGCATGGGTGCATTTGTACTGTTATGTGATGGTTTCCTGTTCTTAAAAGCAGTAAGTTAAAAAAAAAAATGTGTGAATTTCTCTTTATATACTGTCACATAAATAAGGCACTCCCTCTAACTCTCATCTTTTATCTGTTTAGAGAATTCTGCTGCTTTTTCTGTGTTCTGCTTTTTTAAAATTAGTATTTTTTTTTTAAATAAAAAAAATAGGGGGGTGGGGTCGGGTGGTATTTAAGCTGTGTTCCTACATACTTGAGCCCTTTTGTTTTAGCCACTGGACACGGACACGCTGAGACTGATGACTCGGAGTCATCGTCAGAAGATGACAACTTTGAACATGTTGAGGAACATAAAAAGGTAAAGGCATATTTTATTTTTCTTTTGGTCTTCTTGCAAAGTGGTCAAGCCACTTGCCTCGAACTTGAAGGTCGTGGGTTTGTTTAATGGACATATTCAGTTCATGGGTTGTTGCAGTAGCAATGGTGTTAATGCTTTGTGTGATGCTGTTAGCAGGCAGGCAGCCATTCTGCAGAGAGACGGCCGAGCCATATGGGATAAAAACCCGGTGCAAGGAAGTTAACCTTCTCGACTTTGAGTTAATTTTTCTGTTAGTTTGTGCATTCAGATTATCGTTTAATGATGCTGTTGCCTAATGTCATGCTGTTTACTATAGTAAAATAAAGGACCCTTTTTCACACCATTAGGTGTATTGGGCATATAGGGCTAGGTCTATATTTTATAGATCAGTCAGCACTTGGTGGGTGATGTGGTCAGCATCCCGCTGCTTGCCTTTACTTTCCAGGACTGCACCTGGTACCCTCTCAAGGCTGGGTCGACCTGGGAGCTGAGGTCATTTTTGAAAAAAAAAATCCGGCTCCATCAGGACCTTAAAGCACGATTTTCTGATTCGCAGGCAAGCGTCTGGTCACTACACCATGGCGACTTCCCGGTTTACTATAGTTTCAACAAATTTTTTGGGGTCTGTCGGTGTATCTTATCATTTTGTGCAGATGACAAATGTACTACAGTGGAAAACAATGCAACAGTGAAAATGATTTTTGTTTTTAGATTGCTGTTTTTCTTAAATATCATGATCATACTGGTTGCTTTAGGGGCCTTCGCAAATTTGGAATAGATGATGATGTTTCTGCAGTCTGTCGTTGCATGCTACTAATATGTCTGTGTGTTGGCATCATTACCATAAACAGTAGTGCAGAAGCTACCACTGTAAGATGTCCTTGTAGTTTTTTGACTGGACGCAGCCATTCCCAGTTCAACGCATATATTTACAGTGAAAACAATAAGATAAAAACAAAAATGATTCAGATAATTGTCAGAAATAAGAATAAAAATTAATGCTGGCAATAAGCAGACGACGTGTATAGAAATTAATTAGCTATCTCCTAGATCAGGCATGGACAGGCCTACAACATGCATGCCATGTGGCTTATGTGGCATGATTTTGTTGTTGAGGGGGCGGCATACTGAGAACTCTTATAGTAGAAGTGTTGTTACTGTTGGCACCTTTCCCTCTTTACCTGTGATAGTGTTATGTTCTCCAAAAGGAAGCATGGAAATCACAGCCGATGGAGATCTGCATGCCCATGTGCCCATGCAGTATGATTCTTCTATCAGCCTGCTTTGTTTACTAAAAAAAAATCAATGCATTTTATACAAAGAATTCAGCAGAAGCTGCTGGATCGGAAAAGCAGTCCTCTGTTTTTCCCGCCTGTAGGAGCTTGTCTTTTAGACCAGCCTCCAGTGTGGTCTGCCCTGCCATTGACTGAGTTTTCAGTTTGCATTTCCCCTTCCTAGGATAAGGCTAGTAACCTGCCTAGGTGTACTGTCCTAAGATGGGGGACAATTTATTTAAGTCGAAGTCAGGCTGCAGGCAGACATAAATAATTTGTATGTGAAATGAATACTGTTTCAGACTATTCAGGTTGGCTCAGATTTCCAGGCTGTCATTCCAGCTGGCTTGTCTACCTATGATGATACTCCAGCTTATGAGAACGAAGACAGGCTTTTATGGGACCCAACCAAAATTGTGGATGAGAACAGTTAGTGTTTATGTTGTTTTAGCAACTTCTTTAACTCTCTCTCTTTTGTTAGTTGTGTTTGGTGAGTAAATGTTAGTTGTATGCAGAAGCACAGGTGTTTCTTTTGTTGTGTTTGGTGAGTAAATGTTAGTTGCACGCAGAAGCGCAGGGAATAGTGTCAGATGTTGTGGTTCTCAAAAGGGTAGGTCTGGTAAATATGCACATCGTATTGGAGATGTGTCCAGTTTTTTGGGCTGGTCGCCTAACCCGTGTCAGATAATTTGCTTATGAAGCGGATATTTTACTGCTCATCTTTGTTATCATGTAGCAGGTCCTTTACAGAACGTTGCTGTCGTCACAGTCCAGCTGAAAGAAACTGGATCCCTCACCAGCTCTCCTCCCCTGGGTGTCTCGGGTATGCTTGGAAAGAGGTCTGCCATGTGTCCCGAATAAATGATACAGGGACAATGGTGATTACATGTAGATGCTGATGCTAGCATTTGTGCCAACATTTCTTTTCATGGAGTTTTCTCTGTGGCGAAATGGTCAAACCATTTGCTTCACGCTCAAAATTATAGGTTCTTTTGTGCTATCTTACCCCAGATGACGTCACAGGATAGTCCAACATTTTAGAGGGTGGTAAGACTGGGTTTCCCAGCTTTCTGATGCTTTTAACGACCTCAAAACATGTAAAACTGGCCCTAACCCCAACTTACCTTCCACAAGAGAGTGCAGCCTAGGTCACACAACTGCATGCATCCTATCTACCACTCCCTGAAATATTGGATTGTCCTGTGACCTGTGGATTTATCCTGTTTGGGGTAGGATATTAATAAAGCATCAAATTATATTCTTCTCCTTCTGTATTTGCTCTTAAAGAGCATACTTGTTTGGGGGCAGAGTATCTATTCTTGTTTTCTTTTTCACGCCAAAAATTAAGCCCTGAAACCCACAAGGGAAGCTGCCATGGTTCAGACTGGAGAAATAGTTGGTGGGCAAGTGAATTAACGGTTCTTTATTAATATCCTACCCCACATGACGTCACAGGACAGTCTGAAATTTTAGATGGTGGTAAGACTGGATTTTCCGGCTTCCTGATGCTTTTAATGACCCCAAGAATGCATGCAGCCTAGGTCCCAAAACTGCATGCAGCCTATCTACCACCCCCTGACATATTCGACTGTGACCTGTGGATTTCCCCTGTTTGGGGTAGGATATTAATAAAGCACAAAATTAACCACTCTATTACAGCACAGTGTAAATGTAAACCATTCTCCTGACTGCAAGATTGCTTTTGTCAGTGACATACAGTGTTGTGTATGGCAAGCTGTCTTGCTGATATGCTCAACTTTTCAACATTTTCAGTTCTCAATGACTACCTATGCAATGTTCAACGGGAGGTGGATAAAAAGCTGCATGCTGTAGCCGTTATCCCCAGAGGCAAACATGTTAGGGATGATGAACAGGTAACAGTTTACAGTAATGATATTTCAGGGGTAGTGAACAAGTGGTGTTAGATATGTAATACTAGATGAAGAGGGTATTGGTCAGTCAGTCATACACTGGTCAGTTGACATAGACATCTGTATTTTTTGAGTCTTCAGCTACTCCTTAGCTTTTATAGTTGAAAGGGGAAAATATTTTTTTCACCACTAGTGATTAAGCTCTGGATCATGTTGTTGGGTCATCAGTTCCTGTTGACTATCTGATCAGTTCCTTCCACCTCTGTCGGTTGGATACAGTGGAGTTGTATGTTTGAGTTTTATGCAGTCAGCCAGATACTGCATCGTTTGCTAGCACCAAGTGATCATTGTGAATCTGCAACCATGACCACACTGCAAGAACAAGATGTTAAGAGGAGTGTGGCCAGATAAGAGTGTTATGCAGGAAGCCAAAGAAGAATAAGAAATCAACACAAAGCTAATGTCCTGAGACACTACACGCTGTGAGATTTACTAAGGAGGAGATCCAAGCACTTATTGATTGAGTGGTTCCATGTGCAGTGAGGATAATCTGTCGACTAACTAACTAGATACTGCATCTAGTCTTTCCTGGTATGTCTTTTCTCGTCCTTTCAACCGAGCTCAAAATTATCCTTTTTTGAGAGGCTGGTTTTTTGAGTTTTTGAACAACGGATCAACATCATGGCACACGGGGGTAACTCTTAAGTGCTCCGTTTTTCTTCTAACTCAAGTCTTGAGTCCTAAGAAGCTCAGCACAGTGCACAGGCTCTGTAGCACTGGCGAGAATCCTGAAATACTTTGGGTAGATTTTTAACTCCAAATTTTGTCCGGGCAGCGCTATTAGACTTCTTTTTGATTTCCAACTGCCAATGAATTTTTTTACGTGCTTAACAATGCACATGGGTGTCTGATCTCACTACCTAGAGATTACCAGTCAAGTCCACGTGAAACAAATCCCAGCCCTTATCGGGGATTGAACCCTGAACCTCTAGCACTTGAGGCGGACACCATGCAGCTCCCCCCCTTCCCCTGGAGAGGCTGGAAGATCTGTTACATATCCATACCATTGCATTTCCACCTTTTTGCTATTATTACCTTTTCACAACTCAAAATTATATATATAGATGGTTAATCCCATATGGGTTCAGGGACACCATTGATGGGGAGAAACCCGCTGCCCCCATCAAGCATATCGTAGGAGGTAACTATTTAGGTGGGTTTCATGTTAGAATGCATCTGCCTGAGAGGTGAGGAACCCAAAGTCTGCATACATGTAAGCCAGATCTGTAAAAATGGATGTGCATGCAAAAATCAAGCTCTGGACAAGACTAAAGTTCCGGCTTGATTGATTAGTCAGAACTTTTCCCTGAAGTTTACAGCCAGTGAATGTGAAGAAGGAGAATAATTTAATGTAAGATTTTCTAAAGTCGGGGGCTAAACCCCCCCCCCCCCCCCCCATCCCCCTTAGACTACATAGATTTATATATTTATAGTATAAAGCTGGAAAAACAGTTTTCTGCTAGATTCTTTTTCTGTTTAATGTGTGCATATTACGTATGAGACTAGCCTAATATGTTTGCTTTCTGTGTTTTGTTCTTTCCAGGCTTTATTCTTGTTGCTGCAGTGTGATAACAATGTGGAGGAGGCTGAGAGGAGAAGAAAGATGCAAGCAGTTCCGCCAACAGGTTTCTTATCATGATCATTAAAATTGTGTCCTTGTTCTGGAATTGATATCATACTTTTATCATTAAATTATGGTCATCTAAAATGTTTCCCATGATTTTTCTCAGTTCTTTTTAAAGTTACTGCTGAATGAAACTTCTTCTTCTGGAAGGCATAGCAAACGCCTAAACATATTACACATTCCAAAATAAAAAATATAGGATAGACTTATAGAAAAGAAGTGTGGCTTACTCCGCAGCTAAATTGTGGAACTATCTTCCACAACAAATCAAAAAATACCACTAGTCCCTATACACACAGTCAGAAACTGTTTGAGCACAGATGATATGCCCCACATAGAAGATAACCAATATTTTAGAGAATGCGCACATTTTCTGTAGATTTATTAAAATTGCTACACTTTACTGTAATCAGAAATATGCACATTCCAGTTCTTGTACTGAATATTTTGATGCTATTGCTAATGTTTACTATTACTTGATATATGAATGAAATGATGTCTGAAAGAAGGGAGACTAGAAGGACAGAAAGTTGGACAGGCCTGCGTGCCCAGTTCCTAAGCCTTTAGGAAAAAAAAGTTTGCTCATTCGATCTTCTTCTTATTATTATTAGCCCTCTGCAATGTTACTTGACCACTCGTTACAAAGTACATTTCAAAAACAGTAATAATAATAAGATGAACGAACGAACAAACTTTATTTTCAAAAGGGTTAAGAATGGGGCTGATACAGAATGATGTTGTTTTTCACCCTTCTAATCATGCGTTCAGTTTGCATTCATAACTTTAACACAGCTCACTTCTTCGCATGTTCCACAACACTTATGTTAACCTGGTTGTCTTTTCTGGCCTATGCGTTTCTGAGGCCTACCTCTGCACATAAATTATGTTAAGTGTATGTTTATCTTACAACTTTAAAACTTGTGTTGTTATAATAAAACTGAACATTACACTACTGCTTCTGCTTCTTTATTCTCCTGTTCTTCTTCTTCAGCCTTTCACCTCTCGGTGCTGCATAGGCCATCAGCCAGCTCATGCCAAGCCGTTTTAGAATGGTTAATGATTGCTTGGGTTTTCAATTTAAGTTTTCTACAAAATGAATAACCAGTCTTAAATCAACCTTCCTTAGTCACCAAACACAATGTTTGTAATTTTTTTTTCCTTTACTGGAGCTTGATTTTGGAAAGTTGTCCCTTTTGTCTTGTGAATGCGAAAAACATTTGTGATGAACTCATAGGAATTTCTGGGGCAAAATACTTTTAAAAACCCACTGTATTACACAGGTTTATAAATTTGTTTCTCAAAATATGTGTTTACAGGGGTATTCAATAAACGTGAACAGAGTAAAGCATTAAATGGAATGCATTACCCAGGGTTTTAAAAATGTATGGGGTGACTCATATCTTAACCTTTATCATGGAGGCTTACGGGAAAATTTGACATAACTTTTTTTTTTTTTTTTAAATCACAGGAAAACCACCCTAAATGCTAAATTTAGAAATTGTATCCATATCTATAACCTATGAAAAACCATGTAGCACACAGTCAATGAAATTTACTGTCATGGTTTAGGCTTTGCGAACGAGCTTCATAATGCCAGGGTGCCGGGTTCGATCCCAGCTGCAGGCCTTGCGTTGGTTTGAATGTGGTATTGAGAAGCCGACCGTCCAGAAAGGAGTGGCAAACTACTGGGCGTAAATTTGCCTAGAAAAACCACAACGCCCAAAAATTGCTGGGGTTGGTTCTGCAATGTCTTGTAAAGCACATGCAATAATCTAACAAATACAGATCACTGACATGGCCTTATATTGACATTTACTGCAGTATCGAAGTCGAATGTGGCTTGATTTAGTCTTCTTGGCAAGGTTACATTTATTGACTAATCTTTTGATTATTTATACAGACGGTTCAGTGTCAAGAGGCAAAAGATGTGCTTGTTTTTTTTTTTTAGCAAAAGGTAATGATCGATTTTTGGTGCAAGAGAGCCTAGTGTATGATACCACAATATCCAGCTTAAGAATGGAGGTGGAGGCAGTCCGCTGGTTAGAGAACACGACACACACATCTAAATTGTAACTGACTCAGAAAGCATGCTGAGGAAGGTCAGGACAGGCATTCTTCGTGCAGAGTGGCATGCTTCACTGCAGAGGACACGGGTGAGGAGTATTGTCTGGATTTTTTTTCCGTGAGACGCTAGTGTGTTGGGAAATGAACAGTCGGACGGACTGGCTGGCTCTGCACAACTTAGTGGAATACTGATGCTTGATAAGGAAGACGTGGTAAGTGTCTTGTGGGAGAGCATGAACAATTCGGAGGAGCAGATGGATCACCACAGTCTGGTGAGATTGATGCAGTGGGGAGTGGCGAGAGGTTGTGGCAGATGCTCGAGGCTCAGAGGAAAGGCAAGATGGAGGTTTAATCATAATGTTACTGGCACCATTAGTATCGAAACTCTTCACTGGCTGCCGGGAATGGGGACGGAGCGCTTATGGGAATGCCCCGAGTGCTGTGATGTCGGTTCTTGAATCAATTCAACTATACACAGTTTTTCCTTTAATAGAGCTTGATTTTAGGTTTGCTTTATTGACTTATGGCCGCGTAAACCACACAACAGGAAAATGATGCCATAGTTGACCTGGTTGATGAGAAAATATCGCATTCTGGATTTGCAGCTATTCTCTTTTCTCTTCTAGTAACCCAGGGGTGTATATATCCTTGATATATTTGGTATACATTGTTAGAAATTAGCCAAATGGCATTTAGTCTGATCTGGTTTCATCTAATTTAAACTACAGATCTCTGTAAACCTTAAAACAACGTGAGCAGCCCTAAAATTACTCATTGACTTCGTGTGCTACACTGTCCTTAAATTGTATGGTAGCTTGACATGCCTCATTCTTCTGTCTCCAGATGTTATGAGTTTATGGTCAGAAGATGAGTGCAGGAATTTCGAGGATGGTTTGCGTTTGTACGGCAAGAATTTTCATGAAATTCACCATAATAAGGTACATTATCACCTGATGTGTTTGATGAATTATGTTAGGAAAGAAGCCTTAAGGATATCTTCTTCTTCCTCTGGGTTCTAGGGCCTTCCCTCAAGAACAGTTAGTTATATATCCTTTACACAACATTGCAGAACCAACCCCAGCATTTTTTTCTGTTGTTTTTCTAGCCAAATTTACCTTCAGTAGTTGCCATTATTTGCTGACGGTCAGCTTTTGGTGCCACCATCGAAACTAACTTCTGCTGCCAAATCGCCTGCAGCTCGCATCAAACCCAGCACCCTGGCACTACAAAGCGTTTTTGCGGCGCCCTAGCCACAGACTCCGGCTTCCTTAACAAGTTAGTTAGTTGCGTATCCTTACAGGATGTTGAAGAACCAACTGCATGTAGATAGAAAACAGTCATAAATCTTGGCTGTTTACTGCTGCACTTGAAATTGCCATATATTTTAGAACAAAATTAGATTAAAGACAGTAAATTAGCAACAGAAGCTAGTGGTTTTCAAGTTACTTCTTCACTTCCTCTTTTACTGCTGCAAGTGTCGGAAGAAATAAGGTTCTGCTTCTTGCTCTTCTGACTGCCTAGACCAGCGGTTCTCAAATTGAATGACGCGGCAGTAATCAAAAAGTTTTCAAAATCTTAAGATCACCGAAGACAGCAGTTTAAAACAGAAATACTGTGAAGAAAGCCAAGATATATATATGGAGGTGTATTCAGAAATCAATGCTGTTAGCAAGGTTGCAGTGCATTATCAATGTACGCTTGCATAAAAAAGAAATATATAAAAACTGATACAGGAGCAAACTTTCTGGGTCAATTGGTTTGAGGGTAAAATTAACTAAACTTAACTAAACATAAAGGAAATAATTCAACCAAACAGATTCATTCATTCATTCATCTCATTAAAGACAACTGAACATTAAATGTGCACTTTTTTCTTCTTTTGCTAAGTATTCAAACCGCTTTAAGTGTAGGTGTGCCGAGAAGAAAACTTTGCCCGACAAGGACGCCGCCCTGAAAAAAGTTTTGGAACCGCTGGCCTAGAGACCATAGTAGAATTTCTCTGATGTTATCTTGCTCACAGTCTATTTCTTCATTCTGTCCTATTCTGTGCAATCACTTCAATATCTTGGATGGAGTCCACTCCAGCACCTTTGGCTTCTCTCATCAACGTTCACCCTCGGGTTTCTCATGAACATTCTTGTTAAATTAGTCCATATATTTCCTATTTCAGTACCTGTTTGATGATTCTCTGTTCGTCTTTTCTAAGTATGTCCAGTATAGCACCATCTTCTCGGTCTTGAAACTGTTAATACTAGTGGCTGCCCAGACATTTTTTTTCACTCCTTGAATTCATACCGTCATAAAATTAGAGCCTGGTTAATTCAGAATCCTTTTCCTTTCCCTGCCACATGGAGGAATAGCTGCCATAACCTTCATCTTTGGGCCATGTCATGCGGGTGTTCAAGAGAATGAGCGTGCAGATTATCTTGCTGACCCTGCGGTTGTTATGGCTGGTCCAGTACTGGACAGAAGAGATGTTATCAATGCCATGCACTGCACTTACCGTACCGAGGAGCGCACCAAAGGACGTGACTCCGTATCCCTGTCTAGACTGATGGATTTGGAGGTGCAGCCAGGAGCTCCAAGAAATGAACATTTCACAAAGGGACAAGACGTTTCATTAATCAACACAGAACAGGCGTCATCAGTCGTTTTACACTTGTGGAGCTTTTGAGGAGGAGATCGGAGCACCTATATATCTGTCCGGAGGGCTGTGATGATAATCCTCTCTAATCACTAATCAGTAATGGAAGAATCTGCTGTAAAGCTATTTGTGCCTAGAGCACTTAGAAAATCATGTAACTGTTTAGCTAATTGATTAAGGTAGATTTTCCAGCAACTGATGCTGGCAGTCAAAAGTATTTATAGTATTTCAAAAAGTGAATATGTTTATCTTGCAATTCTTATTTTTGTTACATCAAATGATTTACAGGGCTGTATAAATTGATACTTTTGTTGTTTGTAGGTTCGAACCAGATCAGTCTATGAGTTGGTGCACTTCTACTACCTCTGGAAGAAGACAGAGAGGCATGATGTTTTTGCTGCTAAAACAAGAGCAGAAAAAAGGAAATATTCACTCACTCCTGGAGCCACGTAAGTTTATTTATTGTGCACTGGTGTTTCTTAGAAAAAGACAAGTTGTCACAAACATCGGAAAGGGAGGCAGTCATCATTTGTTTGTTACATTATGAGAAAAAAAATGTAGATCTTAGTAAAGAAAAATAAAGACTAGATAAGATTCTCGACAGCGATTTATCATGGTTTGGAGATGTGTCAGGACACGAACTGATAATTACTGTTAAAGATTAACAAGATATTGAGAAAGTAACATGATTACCAGTGGAGTTAGCAAGGCACTTGGTGATGATGAAATTGTCTTGGCTTTTCTGCCACTGATTATGATCTGTAAATTGTTGAAACAAGGGTCTTTTCTTCTGATGGCTTCTGTTGCAAACTCCAGTAATTTTCTTGAACTGGCGAAGGTAAAAGGTAAAGTCCGGAGATGTGAACCAGCGTCATTGCACACGGTTATAAACCATAAGTGCTCTGCCACCAGTACAGAAAGCTGACAAGAAACTGTTCGCTTGTGCCGCCGTCCGCATGTAACTCCTTAGCTACAGCTAAAGAGTGTTAAACTGGTACCTATTTCCTAGAGGCTGGGTGAACTCCCAGAACCACCCAGTTTTGAACACCGGCCGTGGGCTGCATCTGGATTTTAAAGGGAGTCTCCTATCAATTGCGCTAACAGTTTTAATTATTATTGTCTGGAGAGAATGTTACAGTTGGGAGTGGCAGTTTATTATGGTCTGGAGAGAATGTTGCAGAAGGGAGTGACAGTTTATTGTGGTCTGGAGAGAATGTTGCAATGAAGAGTGACAGTTTATTATGGTCTGGAGAGAATGTTGCAATGAAGAGTGACAGTTTATTATGGTCTGGAGAGAATGTTGCAATGGGGAGTGACAGTTTATTGTGGTCTGAAGAGAATGTTGCAATGGGGAGTGACAGTTTATTATGGTCTGGAGAGAATGTTGCAGTAGGGAGTGACAGTTTATTATGGTCTGGAGAGCATGTTGTAGTAGGGAGTGACAGTTTATTATGGTCTGGAGAGAATGTTGCAGTAGGGAGTGACAGTTTATTATGGTCTGGAGAGAATGTTGCAGTAGGGAGTGACAGTTTATTATGGTCTGGAGAGCATGTTGCAATGGGGAGTGACAGTTTATTGTGGTCTGAAGAGAATGTTGCAATGGGGAGTGACAGTTTATTATGGTCTGGAGAGAATGTTGCAGTAGGGAGTGACAGTTTATTATGGTCTGGAGAGAATGTTGCAGTAGGGAGTGACAGTTTATTATGGTCTGGAGAGCATGTTGCAGTCAGGAGTGACAGTTTATTATGGTCTGGAGAGAATGTTGCAATGAAGAGTGACAGTTTATTATGGTCTGGAGAGAATGTTGCAATGGGGAGTGACAGTTTATTGTGGTCTGGAGAGAATGTTGCAATGGGGAGTGACAGTTTATTATGGTCTGGAGAGAATGTTGCAGTAGGGAGTGACAGTTTATTATGGTCTGGAGAGAATGTTGCAGTAGGGAGTGACAGTTTATTATGGTCTGGAGAGCATGTTGCAGTAGGGAGTGACAGTTTATTATGGTCTGGAGAGCACGTTGCAGTCAGGAGTGACAGTTTATTATGGTCTGGAGAGAATGTTGCACTGGGGATTGATTGTTTGTTATGGTCTGGAGAGAATGTTGCAGTGGGTAATGACCAAGAGATCTTGCACTTAAAGGAAAGTCAAGTCGGACAATTAATCAAACTGCTACTGAAACCATCGGAATTGGAACTCTTAACTTGCTGTGGTAAATGGTATTAGAGCAACTTTAGGAATGTCCCTAGGTCTGTAATGTCGTTTCTTTACACAACTGATATAAAGGTCATAGATTCAGTTCAGAAAATGAACACTCAAATTCACCACCTGTTTGTGATTTGTGATGGAATATACATATAGCGACATTCATCCCTGAAGAAGAAGACACAATGAAGATATGGAACCTTATTTAACATTATAGAATAAAGCAGTGATAATATAAAACATTTAAATCACATTTAATATCAATTCAAGTTCAATAATATAAGAAATTGAGACTGCCTATGTGCGTTCTGGATCCTATTTTTGGATAGGGAAAATTAGACCCACTGCCTGTCGTAAAAGATGATTAATTAAGGAATTGCTGAAATCAGATGTTTCTGGCCGAAAGGCATAAATATAGCAGCCTAGCTGCAACCACAGCACAACATACCAATTGCCTTTTTAAGATAGAACGAAGAAAAAGAATCTGAGGCTGATGAATAATGAGTTCTTTATAAGCATTTTATTTATACTGTTTTGTTTTTCTTCTTTTTTCCAGAGATCACGTTGATCGCTTCTTGGAAGAGCAGGACGTTGATCTGCACCAGCTTTTAGCCTCCCAGTCATCTGAATCAAAAATAGAAACAAACGATGAAGAACATGTTAAATCCAGCTTAGATGTCTTTAGTACAGGAAAGACAACAATGATGTCTCCCTCACGACACCTTGATAAGAAAACCAGCAAAGGAGAGCACCTGAGAACTTCAAAACATTCACATCATCATCTTCACGGAGAAGTCAATGGCAGCATTTCCTCAGACCAAATCCCTGAGCATTCACCCGCTAAAAAGACAAAGAAAAAATTGAATGAATTGTCTGAAGACAGCTTCCTCCACAAACCGGAATACAGCACCTCGCAATTACGCTTGTGTTCGTCGCTACCCTTGTCAGCATCGCGTGACAGGAGCCCGGGAAGGCCACAGGGTGCGATAGGGCAGGCCAGCTTGTCGAAACATGTTGCACACAGTGCTGCCTCACAAGGAGGGAGATCCACGCTCAGTTCTGATGTCTGTAGCACTGCTGACATGGAAGTTGCAAATAGAGTCGACAAATCTCTCAGCAGTGGAATTAGAGTCGTGTCTGCAAACACCTCAGGCTTGCATGTTTAGCAGCAGTAGGATGCTTCGTTGAACTTTCCTGCATTAGAAGTAAAGAACTGCTTGTTGGTACATCATTTTACCGTATGTTAGAAATGAAGTGTCTGGAGAACATCACTTTCACTTTCAAACATTAGAAATTAACTGTTTGTTGATATGGGAACTGTTTGTTGATACATCATTCTGCTTTCATACATTAAAAATGAGCTGTCTGGGGAACATCATTTTACTTTCATTTAACAATTATGACCTGTCTTGAGGAAAATCAGTTACTTTCATGTATTAGAAATTAACTATCTAGGAATATCAGATTACTTTCATGCTTTGGAAATGAACTGTCTGTAGTAACATGAGTTTACATTCATGCAATAGAAATAATGTATTGTCTATGAGAACGTTAGTATTCATAAGGGAAAGTAAAATATCTAGGCATATTGTTATACATTTGTTAATAAAAAATGTATTAACTTTCTGGGGCATATTTTATTTTTCATGCAGCAAAATATCACAAACTGTCTGAATACATCATTTAAACTATACATTTGAAAAACACAACTAAATTAGAGAAATGATCAGAAATGTTCTGTGTTCTGTACATACATTTTTTTTAAAGAATCAAGCCATGACTAATCCACAGCAATAACCAGTAGTACTAACAGCAAGTAAAAAGGAGTGAGGCCAGCAGACAAAAGCGCTATGCAGGAAGCCACAAAATGTGACTTTAACATCACTTTTAAAAATGCTGTTTAATTCACAAGTGCCGCCGCCCGCATCCATCCCCCCCCCCCCCCCACCTCTTATGCCATTTTAGAATATGTATTCATATCCTAGATATTGCATAGATGTGAACACAGCTGGTTTAGTAAACACGTGACTCAGAAAAAATCAGTTAAGCAACTTTTACAGGGAATTGGACCAAACCAGAAGATTTGGGTTTGTAGCTTCTTGGGGCAGCAGTGTTAATTTTCAGATACCCTACTTAGACCTGTTAATATTGTCTGTAAATTGTACATTTCTTTGATTCATTTATTTTTAATAGAAATGTTGATGATATTGCAATAAATTGTTACTAACTTTACTATTGTTACCATATTGTAATGTACAGTCATCAAGACTGAAAGTAATTGTACATTTCTGTGTCACTGTAAAGTCTTTATAGACAGCAGTAAGATAGCTTACTAATTGGTTAATTTAGAATAGCATTCTATGATATAAATTAAACTGGGAATGAAATTGTAAGCTTTGAGCCTTTTTTTGCTCATAAGCATCTGTTGTTTTTTCACCTGAGCTTCTGATGGGAGTAAATCAAATTCCAAGTCATTTGACTATTTTCTCACCTGCCAAGTCATCTGTAATCATCATCATGCTGTGCATTGATTAATCAATCAATTAAAACTTCCTCACATCAAGCTGCATTAGTTTTAAGGTTTTGAACAACGGATCATCATCATGGCACACAAGTAATAGCCCATAAGTGCTCTGTTCTTCTAACTCAAATCTGAGTCTGAAGAAGCTCAGCACAGTGCACAGGCTCATAGCACAGGCGAAGATCCTGAAATACTTTTGGTAGATTTTTAATTCAAAATTTTGCCCATGCAGGGCCGTTAGGCTACTTTTTTCTATTTCCAACTGCCAAGGGATTTTGTACGTGCACAACAATGCACACATGCATCAGATCTCACTACCCAGAGACCAGAGGGAATTACTAGAAGTCCAAGTCCACGTGAAAAAACTCCAGCCCTTAAAAGGGATTGAGCCCAGAACCTCTAGCACTCAAGGCAGACACCATGCCTCGATACCACGCAGCTCCGATAGATGAAAAGGTAAAACTGATAGTATAACTGATAAACAAATTAAACTTTACAAAATCAAGCCCCATTAAAGAAAAAGTAAATTTTTTTTTTCACCTTTACTTCTGAGGATATACATAGAACCCATTTTGAGCCAAGGTCGACCTGATAACCAAGGTCAGATTTAAAAAAAAATCTGTCTCAATGTGAATTTAAACCTTGAAACTTTGTGGTGGCAGGCGAGCGTCTAGCTACTAACTACGCTACCACAGCTCACTGTATTCTCACGTAGCCAACAGAATGGCCTTCGGGTGTACAGAAAAATAGCTCCCAGATGGATTTATCTGGTTCATTGGCAATGGTCAATGGGGCAAAACACAGCCAGTGTACAATCATTATGTCAGTGTTTGACACCCTAATACAGTCTGTTCCAGAAGTTTTGTCCAACTTTAAAAATCTGTAACTCAGTAACCGTTCGGTATAAGTCCAGGATTTTCAACTAAGTTTACTCAGGGGCCAGAATTGTGAAAATGGGTATCTTCACTGGCCAGAAGTCCGAGCCCCAGCATAGTCAGATCATTAGTACAATACAATCGCCATTGATTTGCAGGCCACTTGCTAGCCCTCCGCACGCGCGTTAGCGCAGTCGATAGGAGGCTCGCTTTCAAATCCAGCTACGAATTGCTATAGCCACGGCCGGTGTTCGAAACCGGGCGGTTCCCGGGGTTCACCCAGCCTCTAGGAAATGGGTACCAAAGTTGATACTCTAGGGTAAATGAAGGAACGTCGCTGTAGCTACGAGTTTCATGCGGACGGCGACACAGGCGGACAATTCTTATCAGCTGTCCGTACTGGTGGCAGAGCACTTGTGGTTTATAACCGTGTGCAATGACGCTGGTTCACATCTCCCGACTTTACCTTTTTTGACTTGTTAATGATCATGAAACTGTTGTAATGAAAACAGATGTTTAGCCTTCTTTTTTGCCTTGATAGCAGTATGTGAATAAACAGGCAACAATTCAATTCAAACTTATTTTTCAGAACACCAGATTGCATGAGTTTAATAGACATTTCACTCTCAGATGGCCATCTCCAGCATTAGCCTTCTTTGAATTATATGAACCCAGTTTTTCACTGTATGCGGGATAGGCTATCGAAATAATTGCCATGCATTGCTTTACCTGTGAATTAATTTCCAATCTCCATGCATGTGTCCGTTACTGTATATTTTTTTTTGGGGGTACACAAAATAATAGTCAAACAAAGATCAAAGAAATTTGCCACTTTAAGAAACAACAGCACCTGTGCATTTTTAAATGATAAAGTCATAAGAACATGGGAAATCTAAGGCCACAGATATTTGTTAAAGTCTGTGGGCATAACTATAACTATTGAAACACTATAGCATATTTTAGACTATTTAATATCCTGAAAGGCATATAGTCCACAGGATGACATTGAATATGTGAAAGATAATAGTTATTGCACAACCATTTTATCTGTATAATTCATTTGGTATTCTGTCAGTGATCTTATTTTTAACGTTTGAATAAGGGTAATTAAATGTTTTGTTATGTTTGTGTACCAGTTGGTCTGTTATGGTCTCTGTTTACCTTGTTCTACTGCATAAAGATATGTTTTTGTTTTGGTGACCAATTTTCATTGCATCAAGTCAGTAAAGATCATAGATAAATAAGGTCTTTAATAGTGAAAAATCCACAAGCTATCATCATATGCTGGTATTTTAGTATTGAAGAATATTTTTCCAACAGTATGTCTGTTTTATGCATGCCTGTCACCCTTCTGAGACAGACACTTTTGCACCATGAAACAACATTAAAACTCTACATTTTATCCTGAACCCCTTTGTCCCAAAGAAATCTTAAGTAAATATTTTTTACAAAGTTTAATTTAAAAGAAACAAATTGTTATAATTCTCTGAAACTCTAAGAGACAGAGGAAGAAGAGATGAAATTAGGAGTCTTGGCCTGCTTATAAAACATTAAAACAAAAACCAGAAAGTGAGTGTGAGGGAGGGAGGGATGAAACCTGTGACCACTGAGCAAAAAGACAGGCCTGCTAGTCATTGCCTCATCATGGCCCCAGGTTACTAAAACTGTAGATTATTTTTTTTTATGAGGGGAAATAATCATTGACTATAAAGCATAGAAATAACTGTGTTTCCATCATTTTGACTAAGAAAACGGGTTTTGTTGACACAGCTACAGAGAGCAAAGTGACATCATAAGTTTGTTATGGTGTCACAATGACCAAACAGGTTGATTAAAATTTTTTTTTTTTAAACTGTAATGTGGGACGCAATTTTTTTTGGGGTCATTTTAGAGCTCCACCCCTGCTGTTATCAGGGGCCCTAAATATAGCCTATAGGTTGAACTGATTTTTATGACTTATGCCAGGATGCTTCTTATCCAGTTGTGACACCTTATGTCACTTGGTATTTATCTCTTGTCGTATGGTCCTGGCGAAGTTGAACGTCATTCAGTCCAAAGCTGCTATATAGGTATTTTGACGACTACTTAGAGACGTCATATTATCAAAAATCTGTAAAATTCAGAAAACTGGCTCTCTTGTGGTGATTGATTTAAACTTTTATGTTCTCCAGTGTATAAAGTACTTCTGGGTTTTTGCGGTCTTTACTGATTTGTTTTTATCATTTCATGTGTTTTGTCATATTTACTCTGTGGCTGAGAGGTTAGTAAAATCGTTCTATAGTGCAGCCTTGACATTAAGCATGGTGTTTGTGCTTTGCTGGAAAAAAATCAGCTTCTCCAAAAGGGGAGCTTTAGGTTATAATTGTGACTAGGTTATGTGCGGCCTATAAAATGGCTTAGCATTGCACAACACCAAGAGCAAAGGAGACAGACCCAAATACTGTCCCAACCAGCGACGAAGTTGTCTATCGGGAGCCAGTGAGTGACCCGGTCCATACTGTCTGGCTCTGCAAAGGTGACAAAGCCGTAGCCCTTAAATTTTCCATTGTCTTTTCTTGATTTCTGGTCAATAATACTGGTGATTTCAGTGATCTGTCCAAACCCCTCTAAATGCCTCACGCAGGTCAGAATCTGTGGTATGTTTTGCTAGACCTCCGACAAATATTCGATTATCACATATTATTGTCACATTGCATTTTTTCAAATACATATTTTTTAAAATTATACTTCTTCTTATAGTCCTTGCAGTGTATTGTTGGTAGTCATGTCT